TAAAACCCACAATTCATACCTTACAGACAAATCTGCATGTCAGCTCCCATTAAGGATACAGAAAACTGGATGTTTAAGAATTTTCTTCAGTTGAACTCAACCAAAATTTTCATCTACTGACTGACTACATTCAGCCTTTTGCTCGTAATCTCGGCATCTTTTGTTGACTCTACTTAAGCTTTAAATATTATATGACAACACAAACATGTTTTTATCTATGAAGGAATAAAGATTCAACCTAGCTTCAGAGTCTCAGAAATTATTTCACATATGTGGCTTACAGTTACAGCCCTTATGCATTAATCCAGTTTTGGCCTCTTTACACTCGCTTCCATTACGTTTTATGTTCAATTTAAAAGTTCTTTCAGTTACTTACAGGGCGTCACATGCTCTGATTCCCTAGTTTATCTTAGATCTTTAATCTCCTTAAACTCGGTTTTCACTTTGAGATCCGCTAACTGTTCCAGACTGAAGACTAAAAGGGCTCAAGAAAAAAAAAAACCTGCGCAAGAAAATAGTGTAATTTGAGTCAGTGGCTTCTTTAAATGTTAGCTTACAACATACTTTTCCACACAGCTTTCGCTTGGTGCTATTTTGTTTATTGGTGTTGACATTTTTAATTCTGATGTTGTTGTTTTTTTTAGTGTTGTTGCTGTTTACTGTGTTTCTATATATATATATATATGTATCTTTTATGGATTTTCATGGCTTGGTTTATTCCTTAGATTCTCTTTAATGTTGTGTTTTATATCATTTGCATGTAACGCTTTGTATCCTAGTTTTGAGTAGTGCTACACAAATTAAGATGTTGAGATTAATTTAACTGCTGCAAAATACTGTGTACACTGGATATCAGCGTCTATAAGGCCGTGCTCATCGCAATGTGCAGTTCACGAGCCGCTTCACACCTGCAGTTCATTTATAGATCCAATAGTTTCGATAAAAGTTTCACAGCTGCAGGTGTCGTCCCGGAGGTATAAAGACAAAGGGGAAGCGACTCTCTGCAGATGTTATATTCAGACACGCTCAGAAACCGGAAACCATCTGAGCTTAACTGATAACAAAAGGTCACCGGGTGGCCACTTTAAGATGTGTTATTTTAGATATTTGTTGCCTTGTGTATCGGCTGACAACAAAATCCTCAAAAGCCTCCATTGTGTTTCACAGGCATGCTACGACAAAACATTATTAAACAGGAAACTTTAAAACCAAATGCAGATTATAGCTGTTCTTGCCCGATGTTATCATCTAAATATCGGGTAAAAGTCTGGACTTCAACGCATTTGAGCAATATTAAAAGAGAGTTTATATTAAAACAATGAGACAAAATCTCAGTTTTTCTTTTATAATATTTATTTTCAATGCATCTGTAATAACTCAGTCAATTATTATGTTTGAAGAAAACCTACCAAAAGCAAATATACAGCAGATTGAGGGTTGCAGTCATTCTCAAATGTGTTCATCCCCTTCCAATAAAGAAAAGGCAAAATTCACAACAGTCACTCAAATAGCTAGAAACTGAAAAAAGTAATGATAAATAAACAGTTGCTAAATTATATTTTAGTGAAATAAGACTTTGCTTTAAAATTATGGTTGAAAAGAATAATTTTAAAAATGATAACAATAAAAAAAAATGTCCCAGACAAATTAGAGCACTTTGCTGATGAGCAGTGGTCCAGAATACCTGTCAACAGGTGCAGAAGTCTGACTGAGAGTTACAGAAAACACCCGATGGCAGTGATTGGCTCAAAGAGTTGTT